GGTGGGAGGGGGGGGAATCAGAGCATTAGTGCTCAAATACAACTTAACTGGAAAATACCTGGAACTAAAAAAGCCTCCCCTGTGAAAGGCTTAGATTTAGAGTGGAAATGGAAAAACGTTTGAGAGCTCTCAAAACTTCATTCCCCCCGAAAGACAGCAGCAGTTGTTATGTAACTGTAGATTGTTTCCTTGTATTGTTCTGTTACAGCTATGAGATTCTGAACACTTACGGAGTCGGTGGACTTCCAATAGTGTCACAAAATGCTGTCCAGATTTAATGCATGCATAGAATGTACTGACCTCAGGAGAGAAACTCCAGAAAGGTGCACTTGTTTGTCAGGTTATCTGAAGGTAAGTCAGAGACCTCAAACCTGACATTCAGAAAAAACTAAAGGGGGATCCATTCTTGGAATAAGAATTTTCCTGTTGTATTAAAAAGATTTCATCCCAACACTTCACTTGCATATGAACCAAGTCTAGTCTTCTTCCTCTTGGTCATTTTTAAGGCATATCATGTTGATTTGGGTTTGCATTTCCCTAAATGCAAATGTTTTCCCCTGAACACTCCTTTATTCCTACAATTATAAATCCACCTATTGAATAGGCCAAATAAATGAAGCTGGGTCTGATATGGTCCCAGCTGTACAATATCTTTGTGTAGGCTTTGCTGACACACACAGCACCATATTCTAGCTCAGTGGTTCTTAACCTTTTTCCTACCGGGACTCATCTGCAAAGATCCATGGCCTGTCCCAACCCACACCCCCCTGGCCCTGCTGGTGCCCAACTCCCAGTTTCCTGCCCACTTTGGGCTATGCTGGTGTCCCTCACTCCTGACCCACAGCCCCCTGCCCCTCTCGGCTGCTCCCATCCCACTTGGGCTGGAGTGCAGTGGCTCTGGCTCATGTGGGTGGTAGAGGAGCGAGTCTGGCCCTGGCATGGACTGGAGAAAGGAGGAGGAGAGGTCTGTGGCACCCCACCCCCCCAGGCTGGAGCTGCTGTGCCGCACCAGGCAGCCTGGTTATGGCCCCCCGGCAGCATTTCCCAGCTGTCCCACCCCCACGAGCACAGGCACCAGCCTCAGTGCTGCCAGCCTAGCCACACAGCTCTCCCCTGCCCCTTTTCCCTGCTGGAAGGAGAAGCTGCCTTCCCGCCATCCCTCTGCCCTGCTGCAGCTTGCAACCCTTTGAAATATTTTTGTGACCCACTTTTTGGTTGTGACATGCTGTTCTAGCTGACAGTGTTTGAACAGAATGTTATTCCTATGCACCGGACACCTAAGGATACGGATGGTACCTGCCGCACACTAAAAGAACATTTTGTCTGCTCATGAAACATACAGTATACCCCTGCAACACTGAAAAGGGCAAGACTATTTTGCTGTAGGATTTTCCCACAGCAACAACAACTGCTGGGCTGTAGCTGGGATAACAGCTGACTAGTGCATCTACATGCTGGATGTAATTAGATTCATACTGTTCTTTATCCCAACCCCCTTGGTCTCTTTTTAAGGATTTTTATTGAAAGTTGGAGAAGGTGCAACATCTGCAGCCTCTGGGGGGGCTACAGATTTAGCTCCTTGAGAGCTGCAGCCTGTATCTAGTCCTTTGCAGTGGACTCAACCCTGACCTGGAGAAGCCAGTTGAGTTCCATCTCCAACTGCATTCAATCCATGGCAGCTCTCCCAGGCCTCCAAGCAAGAGAAACAGTTACAGGAAGGCTTGTACAGCATGATCAACTAATTTTGTTCCTAGTGGATGAGAGCTCCACCTTCTTGTTTTGGATGCCAATGAATGGCCCCAGATGCTAAGTCCTCTCAGTCGGTCTTTACTCAGAAGAATGCGACACACAGCAAACTTCATTCCCCTTATAGAGCAAGCCTGTCTCAAAAGAGAAAGAATCAAGACATTTGATCCTTTTGCCTGTACCCATACAGCCAGACTTAAACGTACATCACAAGAAGCAAACAAACAATCTCTATGACTGATCAAGACTTGGGAACAGAAAAAGTTATTTTGCATAGTCTTACCTATTCCATGTTTTCTAAATTCTTTCACCACTCCTAGACTTAAAATGTAAGCGACTTGAGTATCAACAGGAAAATTTGAAGCTAGGATATCTCCATCCTGAGTAAAGACATGACAGATATTAAAACGGCGCAATGTGAAATCTCTGTACAGCACTGAACATCAGCTAAACAAAGCAAGTAGCAGAAAAATTCTTTTTGTCCTGCCATCTTTGCAGAACTGCTAGAAAGGAGAATTAAAAAAACAAACAAAACAAACAAATGAACCCACAGGCTCCTAAATGGAAGAAAAAGAGAAAGTATTTAGTTGCTTGCAGAGGTTAGAATGGGACCCCATACGTGGGGGAGAGTTACGCTGCTTTAACTTTTTCTTCCAGTCTGTATGGTAGGAAAAAAAATCCCAACTATTTCTTTAATATTTTAGAGAGAATACATATATTAACTCAATGTATTTAACATATAGTTGCTTACTGAAAGAGACAAGTTTAAAAATCACAGCATGGAGTTCCATGTTTAAGTGTCCCTATCAGAAGTCAGCAGTTTGCCAGCAAACACACACATTTCCCCTGCAGTTTTCCTTCTCACACATCACCAGCCGCCATGTGAAGTTCTACAGGCCAAACTGTGAACTCAGCAGCACCTGTGCAAGTCTACAGATTTCAGTGACATTTCACAAGTGTCACCAAATGAAGCTTAGTAAACAAGCTAGCAATGCACAACAGCACACTTATTCCATATGGATACCAACAACTGCCTCAATAAAGGAAAAGCACCTGTCAGGCCAAATGATGCCTGGCAGAAGCAGTGCTGCTATGTGTATATCTGCTCCTCAGATTCTTTTGCTCTCTCAGGAACAAAGAAATGTGTAGTCACAGCTAAAGCTCATTTGAGAAAAAGCAAAAAATGAATAAATGAAGCAGTTTGTAATGCATCATGCCTGTCTGCACAAGCACAGAATTCAGTGGTCTGCAGAAAAGTGCTGCTGGCCAATATCTGTACACCACTAATGGATTAAGAACCCATTCATTGTTCTCCCACTCCAAGCAGGGGAAGCCTGAATTTAAACATGTCCTACTTTTTCTTTCTCTCTTTCACAATCAGCTTTCTTTTCATGTAGAAAAGTTGCTGCCCATGTCATTCTTTTGATAAGGTCAGGACTGCTCAGGAAAACTGGAGAGATGGATCCCAGTGCATGTAATCACTGGAGGGCCGGCAAGGCACAAACACGAGACATATCATATCCTGGGAGCATAATCTGCCTACCTCTTTATGCACTTTCGTTCTGCTCTTTATCTCAGCTACTATCATTCCCACAATGGCACCTCTGTAAGTGGCTGCAAGGGAAAAGAACTTCTTGTTGGAAGTGATGTCCCGATACCATGAGTCAGGATACCTGAGAAGAAAAGCCAACATTACTCATGAATCCTTGAGAACACAGCATTTCAAATTCAGCCATGATCCTGAAGTCAGTCAGACTTTCCTCAAAATTTGAGTTACAGTAACATTTCAATCAGGACAGGCAATAAATGTTGAGTTGTTGCTGGCTGACTGGAAATATAGCAGGTGGCACCCTTTCACAAGGTTCAGTCACAGGTGGATATCCAAACTGGCCTAAACATAAATGAGTAACCCATAAACATCAGAATTCCCTTGTTGATGGTGACAAAATTTAACACAAATACCTGACAACAGACCCTCAACCCAAACAATTGTTACTTTTTTGCCACAACATTAGAAACAACAACTAAAAACAACTTCTAATACTTTTCTTATCCTATATCTCAACAGCTATTGTGAGGACTTGAAGAAAAACATCTATTTCAGATGGGAAAGGTTTGTATAATTTTAAACCTCCGCACCTCTTGAAGACCTTGTGCAATTTGCCTCACTTTAAAGCCAGGCTCCATCCTGGGATAAGACCCGACAAACACATTTCTCAAATTGATTTATCTGTGCTAACTACAGGGGGTCTCAAACTGGACACGTAAATGGAGAAACTAAATTTCTTTCTACTCTAATTACAGAAAAGCCAGTCTGTAAATCTATAAGGGACATTGCATTGCTTCTGTTAAAACAGGGATGGAAGAGTGAGGATGGAAGTATTTTGGACAAATATTAAAAGTAATTTTAATAACAAGATGCTCTGTTTAGAGACCACTCAAATCCTGTTTCAGAGAGCTATGCCATTTAATGCACTAGCTCTACATTTTGCAAATAGCAATGGTTTTCTTTTATGAAAAACTCTGTATTTACTCCTATGGTCAGGTTTAAGGCACAGAAGTTAGTCCTTTTTATTGGTTGATTCCTGGAGCAATGGGTTGGCTTCACTGACTATTAGACTGACACCTTGACTCCTCCAGGAAGTCCTTCAGAGTGACAGCTACAGAAGAAACTAGAAATTAGCACTGGACCAGTCACTGAACTTGATGCTGGAACATGAACCTCTTTACCTCAAATTTTAGTAAACTGCCAAACACACAATGGTGTCAAGAAAGACCTGCACAGGATTTTAACAGTACAAGATGTCAACAAGAATTAACTGAACAGTCCTGATACTTTGCACTTTAAGTTTCCAGATTCTAGTGATTTCTAAATTCAGAGATGTCCAAATTTAGATTTCTCCAGATTTCTAGATTTAGAAACTATGCAGTGTTTTCAAGATCTTGGCTTGTGAATCTCTTTCCACAGTTCACCTGGGTAAAGAACCATATTCAGGTCTAGTGCTCTGCATGTATGATTATGAACAACGAAACAGACATCTCAAGCTCCTCCTCAGGCCAGACCCTGTGCAAAACCACCACAAAAATGTTACATCAACAAAGGATAGGTGCAGAGGTTGCATACATCTATCCACTCCATTTTCAGTAGATGCTGGGGGCCAAAGGAGGCAGGCATGCGATGGGATCAAAAGGCAGCATCCCTTAACTCAGCAGTGAACTCATGTATCTACACAAAGTCCTTACACAGCAATCAGGGCCCCTGGCAGATGTTCAGTTAAAGGACCTACTGAGATCTGATCCACCACCTCAGTACCCATGCTGCCATCCATGCTACACATGCATAGCAAGAGGCACAACTGTGGGATTAGAGACCGGATTCAAATCATGCCCTATTCCCAGTGCAGGCAGAGCCCAGGATCGTGATCCTGAGCTCACCCAGAACCGGCAATTAGGAAGCCAAGTGCCTGGTGTGGCCAGCTTAGAGTGTCAGTCAGCTGATCAGTGCTTCTGAGGCTGGGAGCACTGATCAGCTGATTGGTGGTACTGGCCCCATGTTCAATTTAAGATGTAATAGGAACCAACCACAAAAGTTATTACACATTTTCTGTAATAACTCTGTGGCTTGTTCCCTGTTCTTATTGTACTACATGAACACATGGCCATACTACTAAAGACATAATTATTATATTTATTCAAATCCAAGACAAGGTCTATCCGTGCTGTTGTCCCCCCCCCCACCATATTCAACATGGGGAGGAAATCACCTTGTCTTGGATTTGGAGTACAAGGTGGGGGGAGGGAGCTGGGTTGGAGCCAGAGTCAGAGCTGAAGCAGCCTCGCGTCTCCACTGAAGCCTCTGCTCCCTCCCTGCTGTTGGGTGCTGGTACATGGCTGGGCAAGAGCTGGAGCTCGCATGTACCCCATGCCCAGGAGAGAATGAGGCTGGAGCCGGAGCCATGCATGTCTGACAGCAAGCAGTAGGGGGGAAAGGGTAGAGGCTGGGGTGGGGGGGAGCAGGCAGGGGGCAGAGGCTGTGGGGGAAATGAGCTGCACCTGCCACTGCTACTTTCCCCACTGCAGTGGTGGGGAGAGGGACAAATTTAAGGTACCCCCCCCCTCCCACCACAATTAGATTTTATACATGGAAAATCACGATAACTTTATAGATTCTACATATGGAAAAATGTAATTATTGGGGGGTCATCTTAAATTCTGCTTCCTGGTGTCTTAAGTGTAACATCTGCCAGGGGCCCAGGATTTAGATAGAATAGCCTTTAACTGTTACATCATCTGCTGCACTTGTTCTTGGCTCTGTATTTTCACAAAGGTAAAATTCACAGCTATTGTTTACAAAACACACCCCCTCTCCTGCCACCTCCCAGGACTGTTACCTACTCAATTGGGAACCAGTCACCGCAGAGCTGTTTCACTGTGTCTATGTCATCGTGGCAGAGAAGACGCAGGTTTATGTCAGTAAGTGCAGTCGGGGGCACCTCCTCTGTCATTCACACCTACAAGGGAAGAAAAGCATATTAAGGACACAAGCAAATGCTTAACTCTTCTCAGCCACTGAAAAGAATCTGCGACAAAGGCAAGATGTGCTTTCAAGTAAGTTCTCTCAGGCAAACATGAACTTTCAGAGCTGAAACAAATGTAGTAAATGTAACTTGTACAGTATCAGTGCTGGTACAAGCATGGCTCAGTAGATGGTTCACACAGCACTAATTCCCATCCTTACACCAGGAACCTGGACTGCAGGCAGTAGGATGTGCGAAGCTTCGGTAGCCAATTTGATTTGGAGGAGATTCGGCCTGATTTGGGAGTCAAATCTTCGAATCTGAATCGAATCGGGAGACCCATTAAAAAGTCCAAATTGAATTGGAAGCTGGACCTGGGCTCTGTGCTGGTAATTGTGGGGTAGGGGGGAGGCCTGAAGGAGGGGGGAGGGGACCATGGGGGGACCCCTGATGGCTCACCCAGCCCCCCCACATGACTGCCCCACCCAGCCCCAGCGGCTGGGCACTTAAAAACAAAGCAAAAAAAATAAACCCCACACTCACCAGCTGCAGCAGCAGTGACTGGGTTCTCTGTGGGCTCGTGGCAGAGCCCCCCCCCCGCACAGCACGGGGCAGCAAGGCTCCCCTCCCCCCACAGCACCCGCGTGGCAGCTGTCACACTGAATGGGCGCAACGTGGCTCGACAGGATGCTGCGCACTGTCTGGGAGCTGGGGCTGTTCAGGCTGAGTGCTGCCGGGCTCTGGGTGACTGCTGGAGCCGCCGCAGCTCCGAGACAGTGTGCGGGGCCCTGCCAAGCTGCGCTGCTGCTGTGTGGGTGCCAGGCGGGGGGGGGCAATTCCCACTGCCACCCGCAGCCCTGCAGGGGGGCTCTGCCACAAGTCCCTGCATGGCTTTTTTTTTTTTTTTTTAAAGTGCCTATTTGATTCAGAGGAGATTCAGTTGGAGTTGGCAGTCAAATCTCCGAAGCCAAACTGAACTGGGACAGTGATTTGAATCACTGAATCGAATCACTGTCCAGCCAAATTGGCCAAATCCGAATCAAATACTTGCTGCTTTGCACAGGCCTAGCAGGCAGTGCTCACACTTGCACATCTGGAACACTACATCTGGTACACCACCACATATATCCAAGACACTACATAAAAAGGCAACTCAGACTGAGGTTACTATATGCAAAGCAGCAAGAATACCAATCATTTTCAGAGCCATAATAGTGCACTAGAGATACACATCCAGGCCAGGGATGGGGGTGGGGGGCAAGGAACCAGAAAAAAAAAGTTGTATACCAAAAGTCAAACACTTATTATAACATTTTTAAATTTAATTTCAAAAAATATTTTTGTCATGATTTGTGCTTGCGTAGTGTGTATAGAGGTGACTGCGTAATAGTTCAAAAATAAAGTCTTACTCTTGTATATTGTGTGTGTGGTGTGGTTGGGAGCTGTTAGCGTGTGTGTATATGTGGCGGGGTTGTGGGGACAGGGTGTGGGTGTGTGGGGTGAGG